ACACATCTGGGATCGTTACGTCGTTTAACGGACGATAGTTGATGCAGAAACAAATACACCCATCATGCTTTGTCACAAGATGAGGTTCACATGCCCAAGGACTCTGCGACTTTCGAATAACACCCTTCTCCAACATCTCCTTGACATTTGCAAGTAAAATCTTGATCTCCTTTGGTGACCGACGACGAACAAGAACCTTGATTGGATGAGCATCCCCAGTTGGAATCAGATGATGTGTGGCAATCTTGGCTCCAGACGATAGGTCAAAGTCAAAGAGATCAGAATATTCCTTCATGAGCCGGTCAACTACTGCAACACAAAGATCGTCGGAGGGATCGGAAAAGGGAAGAGCAGAATAAGATGGAAACACAAGAGGAAAAAGTGGGGGAACAAAAGTAATGGAAGCAGAGGTAGAAGTAGAGGGACGAAGAGGTACAAAAGTGAGAGGAATGGATGAAACATAAGAAAGTATGAGATAAGGGGAAGAAGCCTCAAAGTCACATTTGGCATGATTGCGCTGCAACCAATCCATACCAAGAATGAGGTCAAAAGCTTGACTTGGCACCACCCGCAACAACTGCAATTCAAGCTCGAGATCACCCACACGTGACAACCAGGTCTACCTCATCCCGTGCACATATATGTGTACGGCCATTGCCATAAAGAATGAAAACTGGTTCCGCTGCACGACGCAAGTGTAGACGACAACGTGTGGCAACAGGTCGAGCAATAGAAGATAAACTCAAACCTGTATCAACTAACACAAAGAGAATAATAGGAGACCTCTTGTTATAAAGATGAGCTTGGAAAGTAAACACTGGATGAACTAGTGCCGAGTGAACCCCTTGATGATACTCCTGAAAGAAAGATGGACGGGTCACTGATTTATTTGCGCAAGGTCCCTCTGTTACTCACGTGACTCCTCGTTTCCCGGATGCATCTCGGTGTCCAAACCTTCCACTGCAGCAGCACCAACGGGACGTTGCTGACGCCAAGGTCTCCACCCAGGAAATGGAGGTTGCCAATCCGGAAAATGCCGACAACGCCGATAAGTATGACCAACTTCATCACATGCCCAGCAGCGAACATCACGGCCACGACCACATCCTCGCCCTTGGCCTTGGACTCGAGCAGCAGTAGCATCAACCTCCATTGGAACATGACCATCACTCACAAAAAGTGGAGCTAAAGGACGTGCAGCGAGAAGTGGAAGAGGTGATGTCTCATAACGTTATGCCAAGCAAAGAGCATCATCAAGGGTGGCAGGAGCAAGTGCATGCACAAGTCCAACAAGATTTTGACGAAGTGCTGGTCACAACATTCCTAGCTTGATCCGTTTCGACATATTTGGCTCCACACGAAGCAAAAGACTTCAGAAACGAACACCAAATTGCATCACCAACTCAAATGGCCCTTGGCAAAAACAATGCAATTGTTGGAAGGCATCGTCATAGTCGTTGGCATGTCCGAAGGCACGTTTGAAGACGTCCGGGAGAACACTCCAATCCCCACAAGTGGTTGCGCTCAAACCATTGTACCACTGCAATGCTGTCCCTTGAAGACACGTGGGAAACTTACGCAAACGTCGAGCATCATCCCAAGAATGATATGTGGCAATCACCATGAAGTGATCGAACTAATGGTACACATCATCCCCAAGATTCCCACGAAAGAACTCTAGCCGAACGCAAAGATTGGCACCAAGAGTAGGAGGAGTTGTACCACGTGCCGTGAACGCCACCATCAACTGAGTTTGGTTTTTCAATTAGCATCAAGCAATTGTACCAACTGCTGCTCTAAAGTCAAAGGAGGAGATTGCTGATCTGCCATGAAGACGAACAAAGAAAGAGCAAAAGAAGATAAATGACAAAAAGCTGGAAGGAAATGGTAGATTTAGACAATGCAAAAAGCTAGATCTAAACCAAAATCCTGAAGAAATGGAAAAAGCTAGATCTAGACGATGCAAAAGCTAGATCCAAACCAAAATCCCAAATCCAAGCACTCCCCAGGGACAATCAAAAGTGCCCCTCACCTCCACCAATGTGAGTGCATGGAATATGGAAAGGGAATACAGAAATGTGCATATCAATTATCCCAAAAACCATAGCTTATATACAGGAGTAAGTGGTCCGGATTAAAAGCAATCCGATGGCTACCAAAATCCCACTACGCTAATATTAGTATACGGCATCGTAGCCATACACTTGGCTCTCACACCATCTGATTAATTAAATTAATAAATAAAAAATATTAAAATAAAAAATATTATTAAAAATTTATATTTTATATTGTCCAAGAAACTTTTTAAAAGAAATAAGGGATTGTATGATGAAACGTCTAGAATCCTTAAGAAACAATGCATCTGAAGGGTCGGCACAGAGAAACTTTTTGGAACGGAATTTCTTCACCTTAGTGATAAATGTAGGCCTTTTACCTTCTTTGACGCAATCAGCCAAAGTTTTTCTCATGCTGATGAGATAAAACCAAGGAAGAGTTCCCACAAAAACGATTCCAGGAAATACAATATCTTCCAGTGGTACACATAGGTCATAGAGCTCATGTAGCCTTTCATTATCTTGCATTGCAGCTATGGATTCTGCCATGAGTTGAGCTTCAGGATTATCTTGAAGATGATCAGAGGTTATGTCTTCATCAGAGGTTTTGTCTTCAGTAGCTACCATGATCTTTACCATGGTCACTTCATCTTCCACACACAAATCTGAACTTACTTCCTTTTGGCCGTCTAACATCTGCAGTGGAATGGTGACCCTAGTCCTTATAGAGGAGCCATTCCTGTCATAATCTAAGAACTCCAACAACCTCTTACCCACATCGATGGCACAAGACTCACGTCTCCGGTGAGCTCTATTGGCAGAGATGATGTCCTTCACAAGTAATTCTACAACACGAGACCTAAATGAGATCTCTGCACTAGATGAGCTCAAGTAAACGTCTATAAGATCCAGATCTAAAAACTCTTGAACTTCCTCTGCAAAGACAGTGCATGGTGGTTCACCAAAGAATTCCTCGAAGGACCTAACTTGCGTGATCTCGAATTTAAAGAAACCCAATTCCCTGTCGACCCAAGAATATCCCACTTCCCTGTGAGCCCGAGAAGATCCCACTTTCCTGTCAGCCCGAGAAGTTCCCACTTCCTTGCCCTCGTCTGACTCTTTCATAGGGTTCCTTTCAGACTCTTTCCTCTTCCTCTTTGCCATAGGGTTCCTTTCAGACTCTTTCCTCTTCCTCTTTGCCATAGGGTTCCTTTCAGACTCTTTCCTCTTCCTCTTTGCCATAGGGTTCTTTGCCATAGGGTTCCTTTCAGGGTTGGTACGTTTTATACGTGGCAAGGGCAATTTCTTTTTTAGGCACAAAATCTGAACTCCTTTTGCGGAGGTGGTGTTTCGCCTGAGTCTGTAATCGAGGGGAACTGAACTCCCTTCAATGCTGCAGCTTTACGTCCCAGCGAGGGATTCTCAATCGAATGCCGTGTGAGATATTCTCACCTGGCACTTGCCCACTCAGGGCAACTGTAGCGCTTGTTTGGCGGAAAACCAACTCAGAAATCTCTGAGCACTCTCAGGCTGGCAAAGTTTCGTTAATGCAGAACATTTGATGTGGTTCCACAATGATAAAAGTTTTTAGAACACTCTTCACGGATGACTCCCTTTGCTATGATCATGCAAACGTATCCGCCTTGGGATGGTGAGCTCATCGTCTTCTATAAATCTTTTCTTTTGAGTGTTTTCCAGGTACATAAACTCAGGTTTATGTGACAGCGCGACAATGTGATCCAAACTTCTTGATCGAGAAAAGCAGTGGAAGGCTGCGATCGATCATCCGCAGGGGATTGCTGTGCATAGCAATGGAGTTGAGACGAAAAGCAAGCTGGAAAGTAAAACCAAGCTTCAGGAGGGACGCAAGCGTTCTGGAAAGCACTATTTTGCTCATTTTTGCAGAGGGGACTTGCGTGAACAAGGAGGACATTGTGATGTTCAAGCAGGTTCATGATTTCTCCAGGCAGTTCTTATTTCCTTGCGCTCGATTTTGCAGATTGTATTCGAACTGGATTTCACTGTCTGCCCCGTTTCTCTGAAAGTAAAACAAGATAATTGTCCACGCTAAGTTTATACTTTTCATCTCGATTGACTTTCAGTTTTTTTTTTCGTTTAGCTGAAGCTGATGTCGTCCTGGGTAGTCGTTTGCGATGTCTGGTATGTGGAGCCACAAATAAACGATGCACCAATAGGATTCTCGGAGAAGCATGCAAAGAGCACTCTTCTTATTTATATTCTATATTCCTTTCAGAGTCTGCGATAGCGAAACGAGCTGAAGTTACGAAAGTCGCTTGAAATACTACGTCCAATCTCGAAACTCACAGAAGAAGAACAGCTCAACGTGGTGCCATTGGAAAATGTAAGATTCTTGCTTTGTTTTCTCTAAATTTTGCGTGAAAGCCTGTAGCCTACGCGTTTTTCCTCCACGGGCCAGAAACTCCCCTAGACCATGCTAAGAAGATTACGAACAAAGACAAATTCATGGAATGATCGACGTGGTTTTTTTCTTGTTTTTCTTTTTATTTCGAAGAAAGTCAATGCCGAATAAAAAATCTCCGCTCCTCTCCGCACGCGCTTGCGACGTTTGTGTTCATTCTTCGTTTGAGTCAAGCACATGAGTCAAGCACACATGAGTCAAGCACCGTTTGATAATGGGAATCGAAATGGTGACGGCCTTGGCCACTGTGGCCCAAACTCTTCGTACAACGTGCAAGAATGCCACCGTACCGCCTTGCTATGGCGCTTGTAAGAAATTTTGTTTTTGGTCCTGACGTGACATGGTTTGGTCCCGGCATTATGGCTTCCCAGGCAATCTGACAAGGAGTCAATTCTGCCGTGTGCTGACCGAGGAGCTCTTCGTCGCCACTACGGCTAGAGGCGACTAGAGGTAGGGCGATGATCGATCGATCGATCGTTCTGTGACCGAAATATCGCGACGAAAATTTCAAGGAGACTATCCTTCGCTACCATGCCTTTATTCTAAAGAACAGGCTATTTTTAGGTCGCAAAGAACAGCGACAGCAACCACATCAATGGATGGATCACCTCTTCCTCCCCCTGACGCTGGCGGAGCCGATGGATCACCTCCAGCTCCCCCTGACGCTGGCCGAGCCGATGGACCACCTGCTCCTCCCCCTGACGCTGGCGGAGCCGATGGATCATCCGGCGGTGGAGCTCCTCCTCCTCCCACTAGCGACAGCAGCGGCGGCGGCAGTAGCTCGATTACCGCTGGCGCGATTGTGGGGATTGCCGCGGCCGGGATTTTGATCTTGATCGTGCTCGCGCTGGTGGTTTACTGCCTCCGAAGGAAGTCCAAGAGGATGTATAGACGACATGACCACGAGTATGGATCAGGGCAATGCAAAGCTGGTAAAGTTTCTTCCTCTCTCTTTTGCTTGCGTGCTTTTCTTCATCTTTGGTCCACAAGCCTCCTCCGCCACCACAATGACCACAAGCCTCCTCCGCCACCACCGCACTACAGTAGTTCGGGAAGACAGGATTCCTGGGGGCAACCACCACCGCCCGGTATGAGCCCGAGCATGGGTAGCTCCAGGTCGTTGTTCACTTACGAGGAACTTGAGGCAGCGACTGCTGGATTCTCCAGGGCCAATCTTCTCGGCGAGGGTGGGTTTGGATGTGTATACAAGGGATTTCTCCATGGTGGTCAAGTTGTAGCTGTGAAGCAGCTTAGAGTTGGAAGCAGGCAAGGAGAGCGTGAGTTTCGAGCTGAGGTTGAGATTATCAGCAGAGTTCATCACAGGCATCTGGTTTCGCTGGTTGGATACTGCATTGCGGATGCTCAGAGGTTGCTGGTTTACGATTTCGTGCCAAATGGAACGCTGGAGCATCACCTGCACGGTACAAGTTTTTGTCCGTGTTTTTCCTTGTTCTCAGTCTCGTTTTCTCTCTTGTTTTTTTCAGGTAAAGGTAGACCCGTGATGGATTGGCCAACGAGATTGAAAATAGCTTCTGGTTCTGCTCGTGGACTAGCATATCTTCATGAAGACTGTAAGATTTCTATCTCTCCGTTGGAACTTAATCTAAAAGTCATTCGTTCTTGCAGGCCATCCTCGAATCATTCATCGGGACATAAAGTCGTCTAACATTCTTTTGGATAATAATTTTGACGCTCAGGTTTGTTGTTACATATTTGCTCACTTGCTTTCAATTGTAACGCTTGTCCATTACAGGTCTCTGACTTTGGGCTTGCGAAGCTCGCTTCTGACACTTACACACACGTCACTACTCGAGTTATGGGAACCTTCGGGTAAGGACATTACCAACCAAATATATCAGTTTCCCATATGAATTTTTCAAACTTCCAGGTACCTTGCGCCTGAGTACGCCTCCACAGGAAAACTGACGGAGAAGTCAGACGTGTACTCCTTCGGAGTCGTCCTATTGGAACTTCTAACGGGAAGGAGGCCTGTAGATACCACGCAACCTGTGGGAAAAGAGAGCTTGGTCGAATGGGTGAATCTTTGCAAAACCTCAACCTTGGACATGCTAAAACTTATTGCCTGTTTCAGGCTCGACCATACCTCATGCAGGCTATCGAGAATGGCGACCTCGACGGCATAGTCGACGAAAGACTAGCAAACTACAACGAGAACGAGATGCTACGAATGGTCGAGGCAGCTGCAGCCTGCGTTCGACACTCAGCCAGCGAACGCCCAAGGATGGCAGAGGTTTGTTTGCATCTTTTGTTTTCTCGAGCAACCACTAAACTCCTTGCATTTTTCTTTCAGGTTGTCCCCGCTCTAAAAAGCGATATCTCCAACCTCAACCAAGGAGTAAAGCCAGGCCACAGCTCGAACTTCACGAGTGCGGACTACAATAGCAACCAATACGCCTCGGACATGAAAAGGTTCCAAAAGGTGGTGTTTGGAAGCCAAGAACACGGGAGCTCCGAACACAGTGGCCCGCCGACGAGTGATCCCTCGGTGTCGAGCAGTGGAGGGATGAGCAGCATGGAGATGGAGAGGCGGCGGGCTGGGTTGCTTTGGAGCTCGGACACGACGAGTTCCAGTGAGATCAATGCCAACACCAACAGCAGTAATCGTCTCAATGGCCGGTAAAATTTCGAGAAGAAAGATCACATGGAAGAAGAGAAGATTTTTTTAAGTTACTACGTTGTCTCGTTTGTATAATATATTTTATCGATGCTTGGCCGCGATGGCCGGGCTTGTGTCGCTCGGTTCTTTGCAAGGCTGGGGAGAAGAAAGCGCCCGCGCGGTTCGTCCAGAAGCAGCAGATGATCTCCAGTCGCGAGGCAGCGGCCGAGGCGGATTATGGCAATCAGCCATCCCTCGGCTCTCGATCGGTGAGTTTCTTGGAGCTGGGAAGGGATTTCGGCTGAGGTTTTCGTTCTAGATCATGTGACTGTGATCTTTGCGAGGAGTGGATGTGCTGGCGGCCAAAATGTGAACAAAGGTGTGATTTTTTTGGTGTTTGGGACTTTGGTGATCAACTTTTTTTTTTCTTGTTCGACAGTGAACATGAAAGTGGACATGCGATTCAATGTGATGAACGCGCATTGGCTCTCTCTCCAAGTGAGGAACAAGCTGCTTCAAACAGTTTGTCACGATCTTTGAAATGTGAGACGTCTAGCAGTTTGGAATGAGTTTTTCTATACTAATTCCACGGTTTCGTGAACAGGAGAAGAACCGGATCAACAGCAACAGGTGAATTGGTCATTTCAAGGAAACGTCGATGATGCTCTAGCTAAATTGCAGGCAGGTTTTCATCGTGCTTTGTTTCTTCAGTAGCTAACGTTTGTTTCTTCTCCCAAGGTTTCTTCCGCGATGGATATCTTTCAAAAATTGTTGGAGTTTCTTGATTACCTCTATAGGGAATTTGGCATTAATGCCCATGGCTCAGAACATCTGATTTGGTTCCACAATGATAAAAGTTTTTAGAACACTTCCTTCACAGATGACTCCTTTGCTATGATCATGCAAAAGTATCCAGCTTGGGATGGTGAGCTAACCATCTTCTATAAATCTTTTCTTTTGAGTGTTTTCCAGGTACATAAACTCAGGTTTATGTGAGAGCGTGACAATGTGATCCAAACTTCTTGATTGAGAAAAGCAGTGGAAGGCTGTGATCGATCATCTGCAGGGGATTGCTGTGCGTAGCAATGGAGTTGAGACGAAAAGCAAGCTGGAAAGTAAAACCAAGCTTCAGGAGGGACGCAAGCGATCTGGAAGACACTATTTTGCTCATTTTTGCAGAGGGGACTTGCGTGAACAAGGAGGACAATGTGATGTTCAAGCAGGTTCTTTGTTTCCTAGTTTCTCCAGGCAGTTCTTATTTCCTTGCACTCGATTCTGCAGATTGCATTTGAACTGGATTTCACTGTCTGCCCTGCAAGATAATTGTCCACGCTAAGTCTATACTTTTCATCTTGATTGACTTTAAGTTTTTTTCCCCATTTAGCTGAGGCTGATGACATCCTGGGTATTTGTTTGCGATGTCTGGTATGTGGAGCCACAAACTAACGATGCACCAATAGGATTCTCAGAGAAGCATGCAAAGAGCACATAACTTTATATTTATATTCCTTTTAGAGTCTTTAATAGTGAAATGAGCTAAAGTTATGAAAGTTAAAGTGATCATTCATTGATTGCTTGGTACTTGTTCCTTGAGCATTTCCACTCCTATTTTTAACTTTCCAAGTTTAGTTTAAATATGTTATGCTTGTTAAACTCTTGATTCAACCACTATTATATGGCACACCTTTGGCTCTACTTTGAGTCTTAGTTGTCTCACATATTATTCTCATGTCTAAATTCACAATCTAACATCATTTCATATTTAATAAGTTTTTGTGATTATCCCAAAGACTAACTCTTGGGATTAGGGTGAAGGGTAAGATAGTGTGTAGGTCAACAATGGTTAATTAATTTAAGGCATAGTTTAGCTCCCACTTCTTTGTTCTACATTTATCTTAAGTCTAAGTCTAATGTCTATACTATGCTAATTTATGAAGTTATATCCTTTCATTAATCCACTAATATACTAAAATAACATTAAACTCCATTTGATTATGTTTTGTGTGTTAGTCATGGCATTAAGATGTTGGAAGCTCTAGGACTATACCAAGTCACTTTATGTTTCTGTCCATTCTATGCTTATAAGTCACTTTATGCTTTAATTCTTTTACTCTTTGGCTATATGCTCAAGTGTTTGGCTCCATCCTTCGTTCAATGCCCAAGGCCTTGAAACTCAAGTTCCACTTTACTGCTTTTGGCTCACTTATCCAAAAGTTTAGATTCCACTCTATAATTATCTTATGGTAAATCACTATATGGTAAAGGTGAAAACCACGTATGCTACAATCAAAGTTTTGGAAGGTATGAAGCACCTCTATTGGATAACTTATCAAGGGGCCCTAATCTTGTTCTAACCATATCTTAGCTTCATGAGCATTCCAAAACCATTTGCACCTATCATCAATAAGAAAGCCTTTAACCTAGCTAAGCCAAAAAAATAAAAGACAATTGATCTTGTAAAAAATGGGGCAATGGTTTACTTGCTTCTACATGATCTACTAGTTTTGAAATAGATCAATTTGCCTGCCATACCACACTGCATACAAAAGATAATTTTGCCCCATTTTCTACCATAAGCAACACAAACCTTATACCTAAGTTATCCAATGTTTGCAACAATCTCTTTTAAATCCAAACTCACATTTATAGACATATTGTAATTGTAGGCTTGTGAAGTCTATTTGCTTGCTTTAGATACCATGATCAAGGCTTGGACTCTCCATACATAAATTTTATAGTTTTATAAGAGTGACTTAAGAAATTGCCCTATATAACTAAAGCTCTATAAGCAAAGGAATCAATCTCTCACAATGCATCTTTCATGGTCCATATCCATTTACATAAAAAAGACTAAAGCAAAACAAATGTTGCTAGCAAAATATTATAAATTTCAGAGTATATATTCTTCATGCATAATACTATTCATTGCACAGCATAAGCTGCCTGGTTGGCAAATTTTATTTGATCCACATATTATCAAATCTCTTACTAGATCTCTAGGGTAGCATCCAAATGCACATAGCTTTTCTACCACTAATTGTGATGTTCAGGCTTTGCATATAGCAAGTATTAAGTTTGGAGGAAATGCCTTTAAAACTATAAAACACATCATGATATCCTCATAACCTAGATTGTCACCATTTGCAACACCTCACTATTGTCCATACCAAGCAACTTGCATATAAGGGGCAAACTTTGCCCCAATATCCTTCCAAATTAAAGTTGTAAGATGACTATGAATGATCTAATGACTTTTACAATCAATTATATGTTCACATCCTGATAAATTATAAATTAGATATTGAGTTCGAGCTGGAGCAAGTAAATTAAAGATTATGAGTTTAGCCAAGTGTTAAAAGCATATATATGCTTGGGACTCTTTCTCCTGCCATTGAAGTGTTGATATTAAGCTTAAGAACCTGTGTCATAGCAGCTCAACTTGAGGCAGCAAGTAGAAAACATAGCATAGTTATTCATGGAGGCAATTGGCAAAAGCAAGTGTAATAATAACATGCCCAGCTTGCTTAAGACTGGACAATATTTTAGCTAGAGCTAACAATCTTGTTTCCTGTCCCACTACCAAGAAATTCCCAGTTCAAACATAGACCTTAAGTTCATATAGAGATTGACACATACCTTTGGAATCTGATCACCAACTTTGTTTAGCACTCTTCACAAGCCAACACCTTAATGCATTTTTGTGTGGTCAAAATTTAAATTTTAATTCACAACTTTGTTTGCAAATCCATGGAGCACCATCAATCTTGCATGAATCCCCATGCCTAAATCAAGAACTTTAACCTTCACTCCAAGCCATCTAGAATTGAGGAAGTGGCCATGTTTAGTGGGAGTGGAATTAAGATTGAGGAAGCAAAAAGTGCCATTTTGATTCTTGCCCAAATATGCATGTCACATGTGTCAAATTTCTCACAATACAACAATCATTGGCCAAAACAAAACCTTATCAAAATATTTCAATAAGACATTGTTAAAGAAATAACCTTGTTGATGGGACCCTCTAAATCCCAAGCCTTGGGTGCAGCACTTGCTTTGGGATGTCGGGGCGAAATACCTTGTTCTAACGGCTCGGTATAGGTACCTCTACCCCCCCACTTCCATCCCGAAGGGAAGGCCCAAGCCCCTAGGAAGGGCGAGGACTAATGAGCCACAAGGTACTCAAGTGGGGCACCACTCCACATGAGTCGGGAGCACCGCAGTCAGTTTCCCTTTCGGGAGTGGGAGCTGCCCTTGAGCACTTTCCTGGGTGGCCCCTCCGGCACCACCCAAGCCCATGTTCACTCCCACCCAAGGCCCCTCGGCCCCAGTCTCAACCTCAAGTCAGTTTGGAAGCACCTCTGGAGAGTTCCTTCAAGACTGGTTCCTAGACCTCACTATCCCTACTATACTTTTGGAACCCCCTGCAGCGCCCCCCCCCCCCCCTGGGAGATGCACGCTTTGGGCTTTCACCCCTTGACCCGTATTAGTATTTGGACTTGGTCTCAGATTCGATCTCGGACTCGACTTCAGACTCGGTCTCGGACTCAATCTCGGACCCGATCTCGGACTCGACTTTATACTCGATCTCGAACTCGGTCTTTGATTCGGCCTCGGACTCGATCCCAGACTCTATCTCGAACTCGGTCTCAGAGTTGGCCTTGGACTCGATCTTTGACTTGGTCCCATCCGATGAACTCTTTGTCATTTCGGTCATGCTTTCGGGGATCCTTTAGCCTACGAGACCTCGGGGAGTCGGTTCCTTACAACTCCACCACCCATAGAAGAAGTTTGATGCCCACATCGAATGTCTCTTTTTATCCTACGACTTGTTAACCATGTCTCCGGGGGCATCCCCCCACTTAGCAGTGTGCCTAAGTTAGCCTCCCCGGCCAAGAGCCCATGACAATGGAGTATAGGTGTCCCTATACCCCTCACCTCACCACGCCCTAGTATGGGGTCGGGACTTGAAACCAGCCTTGCTTTACTAGGGGGTTGGGACTCGAACCCAACCTCCGTAGAATACGTCTACGAATTCGACATCCCCATGGGGAGTCGGGCGTAGTGCCCTACACCTGGTCGACCTAGCTAACCCATGCTAATTAGCTTACCTTCGGCGTGCCTTCGGGTCCCAACATATGCCA